AAGTCATTTTGCAATTTCTGGACCGACTTTGACATCATGTACTGGTTCAATTTGTTTATTCATTTAGGTTTTGAGATTTTATTTGTATTTATTTAATACGTACTTTTTGTACTCCTCTGTGAGAGAGGCCAGTGTTACTGGTGATTGCACTTATTTCGTTGCATATTAAAAGCAATAAAAAGCGAAAGATAAGAAGCAAAGGGAATACGAACGAAAATGGCGCTTAAATGGGGAATTTTTACATACACAATACTGATGCGTTTATATTCAGGTCACATGTCTGATAGGTTTCAAATTGTGTCGTACCATACCTATAGTCTACTCCTTTCAATAATTATGTGTTTTTTTAGTTGAGTCCTGTCAGCACTAAGGTATCATAACACGTTAACTTCTCCATAAATTCGTCAGCTTAGTTTTCTTTTTAAATACAAAGTTATGTAATGATATTTAATATACTTTGTGATACTTCATAACAAATTGGTGGCCGTAGTTAACGACGATCGTCTTGTCGCATTATACAAACGTGACATAAACTAGACAACTGACGTCAAAAACCGGACGTTTTATGACTTTTGCGTGTCATTTCTGTTGTATTTTATAACCATTGAAACATTGTCTGTGAACAATCGAAAAAACGAACGAATATTGTCTATTATGAGGTCAAACTAATGTCATCAATCTTCACAGTCACATCTAGATTTTAATCAAGATAACTGTCTGTATTTAGACTTATAAATTGTATTACTTGGTCGGAGAATCTTTCTAAAATGTTCGAACAGATCTGCATTTGCGTTGGACAATTTGTACCACCATAATATGTAAATTTTGTATCAAATAATTTTTGCCTCCAAATGTGAACTACGGAGATAATTTTCTCTAAGATAAACATATTATATTATACCGGGTAGTATAGAGTAGTCAAGAGCCACCAACTATATCCTTCGGTATTTCTTACGTTGACGACATCTAACATCTACATGACAGAGCATTCGTTTTGAGCACAGATGACAGCTGCATAAGAAAAAGTACGTTGAGTGGAATTATATGTTGTTCAAAATTGGTAACTATGGAAAATTGGAGTACAAATATGAATCAAGATTTGATACACTGTTCTTTGCTAATTCTAATACAAATATTCAAACCCAAGTCTTGACCGCGTTGGCCCGGTGGTTGGAGCGTAGACTCGACTATATTTGCATCGCAGGTTACACATCTCGAATCAAATCCCAAGCAGACAGACCTTAGCATAATAAATTTTGTTAATATAATTGGGTG